AGCTGAAGCTAACTCCGATTAGCTTCAGCATATTTTTGGACTGGGGGGGATGACAGGAGTTCTTAGAAGAAACCACACGATAACACAGGGAGAACACGGAAACTCCACACGCATAGAACCCTGGCGGAGACTAGAACCTAGGTCCCATGTGACAGTGCTAATCGCCCCCCCCCCATATGCAGATACTAAACTATTTTCAAAGAGGGACACAGTCAACGTTGTGGGACAGCTCGAGATAGTGGAGGGGACACAACTTAATAATTGAAATACAATGGTCTATTTAATGTGATAGAAACATCAATGGCATTAAAGCATTATTTCTCAATTTATGAACTACAATGCCTCTGGCATATCTGAGGCACACAGTTACCTAAGTTATTATAATACCTTTTACCATATTTAAAATCCGACAGCCCAAATGCAGCCTCTCACCGCCTGTCATATCCTGTTTTCCTATGGATTCATAACTATTTTGAAAATTCCACAGCAATCCCACCATTTTTATTGAATTACCTTATTCATTCACCTTGCATTCATTCTTCGTGCACTATGATTCATCCTTATATAAAACGTACTGTCTGGTGGTAATAGGTCCATTTCCCTTAACATAAACAGAAAGTTTAATATTTTCATATTCTGAAGACATAAGATATAGATTTTCCAAGTATTTATATCAGCAAGCCCACTAGTTCCTATATTTATAAATGTTGTTTAAATAAACGAATTGGATAATAATAGTTTTCTGTATTAGAATTCAGCAATATGGCAAGTGTGTACTTAAATCTAACGCGCTTAAAGGGAATATTCACGGTATTAAAAAATCTGAGCTACAGTTACCATAGGAGAAAGAGACACTTTGGTGGGGCTCTTTGATAACTTGCGGAGTTTTAAAACAAGCATTCGGCGGTCCTGAAATGTGCGCCTCCGCCGCATTCCTACGCCTTTAGTCTCCTTTCCCAGTGCCAGACAAAAACTCTCAGTTCACACATCTGAAGGGATCCGTAATCGGAACAAGCCTTTCCTCGGGGGTTACGGCGATATGAAACACGGCACAATGTGGTTCCATTTACAGTACAGCCGAGACCTGTAAATCAGAGACGATCGGACGGCGCCGGCCCAGGATCGCCCGCCCCGGCGAAGCGAAGGGCGCGTGACGGAAAAGAGCGCCGCGTCTGGCGGAAGAAGGGGCGGCTTCAGTCTGTTCACGGTACAAAACGCCTTAAGTGGTAGCTGAAGGTGACAGCTGGTGACAAATACAATACGGAGAAAACGATAAAATAACCGCTTTTAACATTTGAACTTGACTGCCATTTGTCTTTATTTTATTCATGGGAATAAAGCCCGAGAGCCCGGATTGCAAGTTTAAGGATGCCTTTAATCTATAGATTCCCGCTATGTAGAATTTATGAGCCAATAGACACTAATGTGCATCCAAGAAAGTAACAAAGTGTCTTTTGTATCCATAAAAAGCAAAGAAAAAATCTGCCTCTTACATATTCAAGAAAACATCCTTTTATCCACTCTCAAAACAAGTGTGAATTGTGCTTCAAACCTCAGTTTGAACGGTTTAGAGATTACAGTGTGGTATAAATAAGACAAAAGAGACTGCAACCATACAATTCCAGTTTTAGTAGACCTATATAGCTTCTTACAGAAAGGGCCTTTGAATTATACGGCTGCATTACAAAACTATATACAACAAGGATTTAGTCCATTTTTGTGCATTTATGAGCTGTTGGACAGTCTGCACATAATGAGGTGGACCAGGTGACTATGGATCTGCAACCATAAGGTACTGATTGGGGTCCAGGCAGGTGCTCTGCTCATGTCCGTTGAGGGTGGTCCTCAACTTCAGGCAGACCTGTACTGTTGTGGTAAAGTATCAGTCGGGATAAATGGGTAGAGGCCTACAACCACTGTAACTGTAAATAATATACCACTTAAAAAATGAACAATGATCCTTCTAATATATATGTAGAATTGATACCATATCACATGTAAGCTACTCCACTATGTACACACATGAATTATGTTTATGTAAATCATATAATTTCATACGCTGTTATTGTACAGTGAAACGACACCTAATGGCACCAATTTTCTTTCTGTAAGCAAAATGATTGCAGCTGTATTTTTCCCACAATTTCCAGCAAGTATCCTCCAATACAATACTCCGTACCCCTGCACAGGGCTAATCAGGAAAGTGCATAGCCTATATATGGTAGGGAGCTTATTCCAATACGCCAATAATGATGTAGGTAAATAATAAGTATTATTAACATTTGGACGGAAACATGTATGTGAAAAAAAATACACCGAATTGTGATTCTTCAGAAAAACACCATTTTTGTCCACATAAAATCTACTCTCCATGGATCTGTAATATTGATCGAAATAAAAGCGCTTTCTGATGACGTCATAATGCTCTTTTTTATGGCGGTTTAGGGCCCTTGTGCAGAAAGCAGTGCAGAGTTCAGTTCAGGTTTTAGATTTATACGTTTGAAAATTTCGAGGGAACTGCAGTCATACCCATCGGCCTGTAACAATATTTTTTCACTTACGGTAGGAATTCTCCCAGCTCCAAGGATATTTAAGACGCCACACCTTCTCTTCCAAGCAGTTAGGAGCGGCCACCAGATTTCTCCCCTAAATGAAGCAGGCATTTGCCAAAATGCAGGATAAGTACTTAGGAAGTGTTAGACTACACTGAGTTGGCTACGAGATTGCAGCACCGTCGACGGACCTCTATGTATGATAGAGAATATATAGGTAGATTTACTGTGGCGTGGTACATGACATAGGCTTCTGTGCATGGCGCTCTTTAAAGCAGCGGTCTACAATACCTTCTTTTCCTCTGCAGTTATACATTTAATTGTTTCTCTGCGCATATGGCCTGAGGGGTTAATTTACTTATTTTTTCCATGTGTAGCAGACGTATCACTTTATCCAATGCTTTGTCCCGCACATATCAGTTATCTCAAAAGTGTTAAATGCCATATCACAGAGTTCTTAAGAAGGTGCGATAATTAAATTGATAAATTTATATGACTAGGATCAGCAGTACCTAAATTAACCGTATTAACTATTAGAACAGCATATGTTTTAGGAGACTGGGATTTTGTGTTGTGCATTTTTTTTTTTGAATCTGTCAACAGGTGACAATTAAATAAGATAACATTTCTCCAATTCGATGTAAAAATTGTGCAGTTGCTTTTATGAATATTTCAAATGAACATTGTTTACTACTAAAATTCAATTTTACTGCATTTTTTTACAAGGTATAGTTTTTTTTTAATGTAATTATAGTTAATTCCATTACAGTTTCCATAGGTATAAAGTCGAATGATGAAATACGTGATCTTCCGAAATGGGTTTATGTTCGCGATGAGTGCCACAGTGGGTTCGTGGATCCCTATTGTGAAGAACATCATATTAAAGCAAGAGTGCTGTGTAATTTGCACTCATCCTTCAGAAATCTTGGACAGTGACGTAGCTTCTCACGTGGCAAGAGGGTCAGACTTGCTTTACAAGACTGACTCTCCTTAACATACACCCAATTTTACTATGCTTACTGCTGCATATTAAGAAAAATGTTTGATTCGACGCAGGGGGTATAAACACAGGAACAACAATAAAACAATGCAAATCTAAGATGCGTAAATATACCGGCAACAAGTACAGATAAAAAGGTCCCAAAGGAATGCCTTTGGATTCCAGTGGATTCAGACTAGGACTGTTCAGCCTTTCTATGAAAATTAATATTGCGTTTGGTGCCTAAGTTTTATACTATGCTAATAATGGAATTATGGAATTATTAAATAAACTGCATGGTGCGATGTTTGTTTAATAAGTCTACTGTGAGTGTTTAATAAACATTTACAGAAAAAAAATAAAACCATAAAAATAAGACCTCTAACACGAAAAATGTTCAATTTTGATTGGAAACGTTGCAGATGAACGAAAGACGTTGGATTTGTGACTACCGCACCTGTAGTGTATAAAAGAAATATGCTACTCGACTGCACATTGTGATTTATTTTAAGACACATCAGATATGTGACAACGCTGCGAGACATCGGCCCTTATGATTAAATTGAAAATTGAACTTGCAAAACAATAACGAAAGGAACGCACACATTTAGATTCTGAATCTTTTTTCTCTATATATAGCGAAATGTTAAAAGCCCAGAATGCCGTAAATTAGGTCCTCACAAAATTATTGAATAAGATTACAAATGAAGGACTATATACAGGCATACTGCCATGTTAACAAAAACGCAATACGTGAGATCCACCTACCTCATATTTCAATTTATGTTCCTGTTGGTCGATGAGAAACAGTTTTTTTCGACACATGTTTTTACATAATTTTTACATAATCCTGAGCAAATTGAAATTGTAGGCCTAATCGTTCAAGTTAAAAAGCGTTCAATTTATTTGGTGGTTTTGTTTAACGTTTTGCGCCTGAACAACACAATCGATTGATTGCTTTAAATGATTAATTGATTTAAATGCTCTGGCACCTGTTTACAATGACACCCAATCATCCACTCACTTGTAGACATAGCCTACTCAAAGGGAACAATCATACTGGGTCACTCGTTTCAGCCAATTAGTAATGTTTGTTATTTTCTTACACTTGGGAAAGTCCACAACGTAAGCTCTTTTTCTTTAGCAGCTGTCAGAAATGACATGTTAGTAATACCATTAAAACCGCGACTCTACTAGAAAATGTTAAAAGCTATTTAGAAACTGTTTAAGTAAGAATTCATTTCCGTTACATTCCACGGGAAAATGGCCCATTCTTAATTCAATTTGATTTAATTTAATTATTCTTAAATTTTAACGTCTAGTACAGTGCGATGGCACTAATTATATGGACCTTGTTTGTGTGTTTGCAAAACCAGTTTCAGTGAAATTATTCACACGAGATGCAGGCCATTTGTGACCACACATTGTGCAAAAAATTTTAGGAATTTGAAGATGGTAAAATTACTTACATAAATTACATGGCTCCAGGGTTCGTTGAGTGACGTGACCTGCAAATATGAACAGTGATAATCTCAGTAAGTAAAGCTGGTGAAACAAGCGTCCTAAACGTTGCAGACTGCGAACATTTTTTAAGTTTGTGGTTCTGAAAGTATTGCGTTATGACTTTTCGTGTTTAACACTTTGCCCATGAATGTTATGGTTCGGAGTTGTGTTTTTGTCAAAGATGTAAATTAGCGTATTTATTTAACACGGAACATATCTATTGGCATATAGAAACTCAAAAGTGCAGTAAAAATGTTCCCTTTTTTGTGAATGTTCTTCACGTGCAAAACATTTACTTGTTTTTGCTTGGGTTTATTTTTAAACCCAAAAGATTGTTTTATAGAAGGAAATTTTGATTAAATTCTTATTTTCAAATAAAAGCATCAAAAACTTTAATAAGGACTACATTGTGACGTTGACGTCGCTGTTACGTTGAACAAGTCCCGCACCGTAGGCTGGCTGAGAGAAGCAGGTGTTTTTCATTTATTGTACTGTAACATTAGGCGGTTTGGAAATATTTCCACTCTTGGCCTGTTACTATTAACGTTAGTAATGTTAGTAATGTTACTATAAATTTTGTACAGTTATGTTATATTTCTGTTATTCCTGGTATGATGTTATTATAAGAAGCACATGCACGCACATTTTTGCAAGACTCAAATGCATATGTACAATTTATACAACATTCACAGGGAATCTGCTATGGATGAGTCAATGCCTTGTTTATTTAGATAGTCACCACACGCAGATATTTTTCTTTGAGATCATAATTTCGATTGTATATTAATTGGATTGTATATACATTTATTAAATGATTCGACAGGTAATTCAGCTGTTTATCCCGTGGCTATATAGTTGTTCACTAACTTTGCGAACTATTTTTAAAAAGGCAAAGGCTTGAGTAGTTTGAGCGTTGAGTTCAGTCAAATAACTTAGCTAACGTAATTATGAACTAATGCATATGATTTAATGACGACAGACTGAAATATTACGCGCAGGTGAAGCGAGTAGAGCAAACGGCACCTGCTGTCACCTGCTGGCGTTGTCAGGGAAACTGTCCGCCTCGTGCTTCAGCCTAATAAATAGACACCATTTTGGCTTTTAAAGTCTCGAAATGCATGCTGTGCAACTTCTATTTTTGCCATAAATGTATGTTTACATATATGTGTTTCAAACTACATTTAATAGTAAGACATAACAGTAATATACAGCGGAATGACGACAAGCACCTCAGAAAATTTGCAAGATGCCAATACTTTTTTTTTTTTTTGCTGTTGTCATAATTTATACTCAGTTTGTTCATTTTAAAATTGGAAGCACAAAGATGAAAGCAATTGTGATGTTCGAATTGCTAAGGATTTTTTCTTGAGAGATTTAACCCCAAAGCCTAGCAAATATGATGTTCTTCTTCTCAAAGTGACGGCGTCAAGTTTAAGATAACACGGACAGAGTAATTTGAAGATGAGGAATCGATTCCCTCTGGTGAATTATATTCTTCCTTGGTCAAAGCCAAGGGTTCGCTTTCTGCTAAGCCTTGTACTGTGTAACACACAAATGCTTTAGCCTGTGCGAGAATCCCCAGGGCTCGTTAAAAGCTATTTTATTACGTTTATTCTACGCCGCGAAATTTTCGGTTGATCATATTGCATATATTTTTTTCTTGGCAAACTAAAATGAAGCATGAAGAGAAACCATTCGGATTTATATAATGATTTTCCATTTCTACTTTAAACGGTATTTCAAAAAAAAAAAAAAATGAAAACGATAAACTGGGATTTTTTTTTTTTTGATGAAAAAACTGAGGTCATTTTGGAAAAAAATAAACTTATCCAGACATGAAAATGGCACATATATCTGAACAGACATTACTATATGATATACTAAAACTAAATCACTTAAAATATGAAAGCTTGTTGTTGGAAGAATAAAAATCTGTATTTTTTGCGACTATATTCCTAGTCTTATAATATTTTCTTTAGTATTTTGTATTGCTGCAAGGCAGGCCTACAGCCTCACATCTGGAAAATCACACTGGATTGCATCAGCAAAAATCAGAGCTACTTCAGGCTGGGTAACAACCGCTTACGCGCAGGTAACATTGCAAAATGCAAAAAGAAATCTTCAAGCTCATAAGTCACAGTGAATTAACGTTCCCAGTGCCACAGATACCTAAAAGTCCCGCCTAGTATTTCTGTCTGAATCTGATGCTTCTTTTAATCAGGAGTCATTCATAAAACATTATCGGTTTTTTCCTTTAAGGCGGTTGGAAGCTTGATAAAAAGTAAACTCGGTGATATCTTTGCCGCTAATATATTACACGATACTCGTTTTCCTGTTTAACTTATGAGTGGAAAATATTTCTGGTCACATAATATTTTTCATTGCTCTTACCTCTTACGGCGGAAAACTTCGACTAATGCCAACCTTTTTTCGTTTGAAATCCGACGTTTTCCGCAATCGCTTCAAAGAAATCCGTATTTATGAAAATGTAACGAGCGTAAATCGCGACTATTCGCCTTAAGATTGATTAAGAAAGACAATAATTCATGTAGAAAACGCATTTCGAGCATTCTCCGTTTAGTGTATGTGAAGGCGTGTCCATGCGGCGACCAAACATCTGTTCGTTTCACGTGACTTTTAAGAAAAATAGGAACATCTGGTAAAAATAAGTTTCATTCAGGTGCCTCTGTAACTTTTTTTCTTGCCAAAATCGTTCAGCACATAGGAAACTCGTATTTGATCATATAGCAATTTAACATTAGTAAAGCCACAGTCTGTGGCCACCTATCAAACGGATTTTACCGGTATTTTAATTTAGCCTTTTTCATATAGGCGTTGTAGATTGTCTTTAATTAAAATGCTATCATATCACATATTATATTTGGAGATAAATAGCTCGATTTAGCACTGTTTACAGCACGTGCGTGCATATGCACATCTTATTAATATGCATTAGACTTTGTTTTCAGTATAGGCCCAATTTTTTAATAGCGTTCATTGAACAACTTTCCGAAATTCACCATATGTCTTCGTTCTTGTTTAGCTGTATTTTAAAAAGGTTACACATTATATAGCATAGATCTTTACTATATATATAACGGAATTTTCATCACAGTTTAATATGTTAAAGTACTTTCATTGGTACTATACTACGGTTTATTTGCTTGTATTGTATTGCTTCTCTTTCCCTACTTACCAATTTATTCTTTTTACCAAATGAAAAAAATATCAAAATTGCTTACTGTTGAGGCCGTAAAAATAAAGTTTGTGCTAAAGGTTTTAACCTTCTCCACCTTCCAGTGACCTGCCAAACGAGCCCTACATTTTATAGACATCTGGGAATTCCATGCATGCCTTAGAACCCAATTACACACCTTCTTCAAACGGACACGTGATTTGAATCCAAAGCAGCGCTTTCTAAAATACTTTTCCAGACCCGGTCTGCACAAAATAAGCCAAGTAACGTCCACTGACAGCGTCTTTCACTGTTTCCGCACAACTTCAATCGGACGCCGGGCGGTCAAGCTTACAAAACCGCTTTAGTTGGCGAGTATTAAATTTTTGTCTGAAATTTTACGAGCAGCCTGGAACAATCTTCAACAACAAACACACATTTATTTTTAAGAGGTGTGTAGAATATTCGGCGGGTAAGTTATCAGTGAAATCCAAATGTCAGTGTAAAAACAAACACTGACCCCAAAAGTGGACGCTAGCTCTCGCGACAGCTTTGAAATTCGCATCAACCTTACACAAGAAGTACTACTTTTTACTAGTAGTACTAATACTTCCAAAGACAGCAATAGTAGCGACAAAACAATCACCATGAGTCTTATGTTATATTAAGTGCTCTGGTGTTACCGATAAACGTAGGCCTAAATAAAATGTGCATTAAAATCCGGATATTAATGTCATTTTTGAACTATACACAACGTCACGGCCGTAATGTATTTTAATGTCGCTGGTCACCATCTCCAAAGAACTAAGGAAACCCCATATTTCCCAACGGAGAATAGACCTATTCCTATATTCGAGTAATTCACAGTGATATTTTAACGCGACTTATCATAACAAATTTAAGGTACTCGCAAAAACACATAGTACATTTCATAGTATAAATTATATAGTTATATATCAGTGGTATTTTAAAAGATGTTTAGCGTTGTCCTTTTAATAAACATTTTAAAGTGGCATTATCTAAAAATAAGAAAGTCGCTGTATGTTGTAGACAAACTAAGCTTGCATGGTCAATGGAAAACACTCTGAAACGCGTACTTAAAAAATAACAGTTCATCCATCGACCTCGATCTTGTTATTTGTAATTGTATGGTAATTACATTTCAGCTGCAAAATCTGTATTTTGCAAAGATTATGTTTTTTATTAATAGGTCTAGCTTGATTCCAAATTAGTTACCCAAACTTATGTGTTAAATTCATATTGATTTTATTGCAGAAAAATATACAATTATTTACAAAACAATAATAAAAATAGGAATGCATATAGACACCTGATCTATCCTGCATCATAAGACGAGTCATTAATAAATAAATAAACTGTATTTCATAAAAAAGGGAAAAAAAAATTAAAAACAAATTTGCACATGAACGAGCCAAAGATTAAAAAAAAAAAAAAAAAAAAAAAAAGCAATTTCGGGGTCCTCATCAACGATTTGGAAATGAAACGGCAGCTTGAATGCATTTTCACTGTCTCCTTACAAAACAGGCACGGCTGATCGAAAAGGCATGCATAAAAATATACATGTTTCCAACATTCATCGTCATATTTCGAAAGCGCAGACAGGTCAGAATGTAGGCAGCATGACAGCGCCTCGGCGCTCTGCTGATCACCGTCCTCTGCCTTTCCCTCGTAAGTGCTCCCCGCGCCCGTCCTCTTTCCTTTAAATAGTCTTGTTTTTTTTCTCCCCTAAAAAATCATTGCTTTGTACATGTCCAGCTTCATCATCCGGGATCGCCTCCTTAGAGAGGGACGCGAAATTGTTGGTCACCTATGAATGATAACAAGGGTCAGTTTATTTAAAAACACAACGTGAATGGTTAATTAAATGCATTTATTAAAAAAGAACTTCACACAGACGAAGATCTGTTTTCTTTACATGGATGAAACGGACCAGGAGGAGAGTCTTTGTGACAGTACAATAAAATATTAAAATATGTGGCTGCGTTTTAGCATCAATGTTTATATTACAGGATCTTTACGGTGAAAAAACTGATTCTGCAAAATACTGATACTTATTAATAATAGGCTATGTGAAAACATAACTTACCGTGCTGCGGTAAGCTCCACGGACACTAGTGAGATGTTGACATGGACCACGCGCCCTCCATCCTCCATACGGAAAAAGCATAGCTTAGTCTCTCGTGTGCCACATAACTACAACTTGCCATTTTCGAGTCCAGCTCGTCGCTCTGTAGCACTTGGTAGAGAAAATCAATGTATCTAGCCGCCAGTTTTAGTGTCTGGATTTTGCTGAGTTTATCTGAAGGCAAAGTGGGAATAATTTTCCGCAAAGATGCAAAGGCTTCGTTGAGAGACTGCGTCCTCTGCCGCTCGCGCACGTTCGCCATGACTCTTTGCGTCTGAAGTTCTTCGAAAGACTGCGGACTGCTACTGCTGGACTTTTTCCCCCTTTTCCCAGGGGTAGGGCTATCTGAATCCTCCCCATTTTTCCTGCTAGTTCTCCTTTTCCTCCCACATCTCTTCTGCTGCCTGTCGAGTTCCTCTTCACTGTTGCTGAGACTGTCCACTGGAGACAGTGGGGAGCGCGACTCTTCTTGCATCGCCTCTTCAAACATTACGTTCATTTATAGAGTACAAGCAATATTCCGCTTCTTTGTTTTATGCTACTTTTTCAGATGCAAGAAACCCGAGACCTCCGATTAGTTGATTTCGGTTAAAACACTCACTCGATGATCACTGACTGAAGGAGGTGTTTCCAGCTTTCTGGAAACTGAGGGCTCTTATAGCCTGGATGGATCTCAGTGTTTGGAGAGGTGATTGGTCAAGGAAGCGTGCTACGTGAAAGAGGGGTGGGGGCGGCCAAGGAACTATCAGAAAAGTTTCCGTTATACAAGAATCAATTCTTTCGCTGCTGTCTTGCACATAAAGGAATATCGGCGTAATAAAGTCTCCATCTACGTTAGGCCCGAAGTAATTAATGTCAGTTAGAATTAGCATGCAAGTTTGTAATTTGTAAACAGATGCGGAGATCTGTTGTACTTTATATAATATGCAGTATAAATTATGTACAACTTAATGCTGGATCACGCGGTTTCCTACACATTGCGAGCTAAAAATAAGCTAATTTGTAACAATACATATAGGCCTAGCTGAAAGTTTAGTTTACTCTTGTATCGCTAGCAGCGACAAATAGTCTCCACAATATAGGTAGCGTTAAACAAATGTAGCGCTATCATATCACTGCAAAACGTAATACATATTTACGTCTGTGTGCTTTTTTGAGTGACTGTTGCCGATTGTGTTTCTTTAATCCCAGACGTTTTAGTGTCGGTCCTGAAAATAGGAGAGCTTAGCGACTTTCAGGAGACCATCGTCTGCTATTTAAGAAAAATACAGATCACAGAAACACTGTAAACTCCCGTTTGAGTCAGACTCCCTACGCCTTCTTCTGTATGATCATATTAGGGAACACCCACAGCGCGCCCACAGACTCGCATAAGCGTTAAGGAAATCCTAATTGAAGTCCTTAGGGGGGAGACGACAGTCTTAAGACGTTACCTATAAAACCTTTGAGCAGAATTCCGAATGCAGAGCATCTGTATTCGAAATCACGGGTATATTTATAGGTCATTAAATAATAATCAACGCTTTTAATACATTTTATCGGTCTGGACTTGCTAGGTGTACATAATTTAAGTGGGTTGCAGTGCGAGTGAGACGTCACGAACAGGGGTGCTGAGTGAGTCTTCTAAATTTATTTTCACAGGTACTAAATAGCTCTGAAGTGTGTGGCTGACAGTGGGTTTCCGAGGGAGCCGGGCGCATTTTTAAAAGCAAGGCTCGACTCGGATTTCGAGCCGAGGCGTTTAAAGCTGATGGGCATTCGCAGCGGGTCGCTCCAACTGCGAGGCCAAAACGTAACGTAAACATTACCTGGCGGGGGAAAAAGAAAGCACCCAAAGCAAACATATAAAACACTTTAATTTAAACGGATGTAGTTAAAAGCCGCTTGATTGGTAAACCATCCACCCCCGCCCCTGATAATTTGGGGGTGCCACAAATTACACACCAGGGCATAGAGTTTATGATGCAATTCCTTCTAACAAAAAGTCGACTGGCACGGAGGAGCTTAAAAATCGAATAAGCTGAAACTGATCTAATTTAAGTGACCTTTTACAGTATTCGTGGGGCAGGACCTGGACCCAGACCTACACGCTACCTGTCAAATACCAGTCCACGTATTTCCTTCTGAGTCATGATGTAACCTCAGCGTAGATATATAAAAAAAGAGAAAATGTGTTCCTCTTACAATTTTATCATAATACCTCGTTTTAAACGTTTTAATTAGACGATTTAGTTGTATATGAATTTGGGCTATTAAAATACTGTCAAATGAAAGTAATTAACGTAGGCCTACCTCTTCTAAATGTTTTTGTTTTATTTGCTTTTCACCTGACCTTTTAATCCCGATTAAATAGCACGAAACTTTTTGACCACAAGAGGGCAAACTTTCCTATCAAACTAATCGATATGGGGCTTGTGTGAATTAGTGCATATTCGGCAGTATCCACGCTAAAGTCTAATAGCTAAGCTATGTACTCAGTGCTCCAATTTTACGTCATACAGAAATATCATTAAAACATTACGCACATTTTTGTTTAGTATGATTAATCATATTAATCTTAGCTGAAATGGGTGGTCCTCGCCAGGATGCACAAGCGTCCGCCATCCTGGTGAATGAAAACGAGTGACTGTTGGCTACGCAACTGAAACTTGTCAAACTGAAAGGTGGTTATTCTGTCACGAATGTCTTGATCATTTGGATGTATTAGAAAACCACCTCTAACATGGGGGGACTTTCCCAGAAGTTCCCGTTAGCAAAGTACATAGTAGGACTCATTCAGTTACACGCTTCCCACTCTACTTTGCTAACTTAGTTAGCAGCTATGCTTTTGGAAAACGTACCCCAGAACACAAAGACTATATTCCAGACGGTGCGCGGATGTCGACGCTCCCCTGTGTTTTTCTAATAATCAATCAGTCAATCAGTCAGTCGATCAATCAATGTGTCAATTAAGTATTTACGGTAAAGTACTTGTGGGCTGAAATGCATTTATTCACGTGTCAGAGTCACTCTTATTTACTTTACAGGGATTCTGCATACGGAACAAGTAGGCCTGTAATCGGGCTATCTACAAAACGTTAAAATCGTAGAGGGCAGCATAGTATTATTGTCAAACTGAAAAAAAGTCATTAACCTCCTTAAAAAGCAGTTCGTGTTATAAAACCTGTTGTTATTGAAATTGGATATGCTTTATTTTACAATCTGGAGAGCCGCGCTCAAGAGGCTGTGGGAACATGAAAAGAGGATATTAAGTACTCTTTCATCAGTGTTTTGTTACAGATGTTCGTATGTGAGGGATATGAATCAGACAGTAAAGACACAAACATGCACGCGGAACTCGTGTCTGTATAATGCACATTAACATACTAGCACAACGCGCTTGGGTTTCCTCGCTCTGTAACGTCGAGGCCTGGCTACAGTTCCAGTCTCATGGCAGTTTTTCTTCGTCTGCCTTTTCCGAGGAATTTGCCTTTGATTGTTCCCGTACGTCTACAGTACAAAATAGTGACATGACTATATTTGACAGGGTTAATTCTTAATGGTAAACTGGCCGTAGTGGGGCAGTGGAAGTGAAATAAGACTGGGAGGGGGGCTACCCTTCACTATAGTAACGGTGCGGCGCTAAAGCAGACAAAAGTGTGTGCACAGAAACCCAGAGCATGCTGGGAATGGAGAACCGGGTCAGCTTACGGTCCAAAGAAATCAGTAGTGTTCCCCAGCAGACCATGCTGGTGCTGTTCGTGTCATCCAACCAGGGGCATATCTAGGAATTCTGGGCCCCCTGACAAATCTTCCGGGGTACCCACTGCCCCTGCATCCAACACGCCAGCTTCATGAGCAACGATACTGCATATTATCGAGTTACCTTCGTAAAGACGCACCTATTACACTGTTACGTCATTACAACGTCCTGATAAAACGCGTCTTTTTTCCAGAGGCGTTACTATATTTATGGTTAAAATCGATGTCGATGCTTGCGAATTATGTGAATCCAAAAAAGAATGTAAGTGAAAAAAAGACGGCCGCGGATTTTTTGATCGTTGCAGCGCAGGTGCGTGAGGAGCAAGGTGTCTACACCCGACTGCGCATGTGCTCTCCGTGGTGCTGATTTTGCCTTCTCTAATATTTGCATAAACTAATATTAATTTTCTAATTTCTAAATTGACACTGCTTCAAAAAAAAATGTAGGTCCATACGGAAATGTCGAAGAATTCCTAAATAAACTGTTATACATTTGAAGCCGAATCACATAACCTTAAATCCCCTCTTAAGTAACCTTTATTTTCTTCTTTCCTGGTTCCTTCAAAGTCTACTGACAAGTGACAACAAAATGCAAGGTGAATTCCGCTTTTTTCTTACTTTTGTTTTAATTGTTCTTTAATAATAAAAACCCTTTCACACACAGTATCGGCTTTAACGTAGCACAAGCCATAATATTCTACAATGTAAAGGCTTATTGTATTAGTTCTACTCTGTGATACAGCTAAACAAGTTTGTATCATACCTGCTAAGCTAAAGGGATTAAGTCGAGTAAATCGGCACTTCTACAGAGATTCGGATTTCAATGTCACGTGGATAATTATAAAAAAGTGACACATTAGACATGACAATACATTTATAAGGCTATATAGAGAATAGGTAATTTAATATTGTTTTAATCCATCCATACACTAATTAATACTCGGATATTTATTTCATGCTCAATAGATCTGTCATGAATGAAATGTATACAATGGCAAGTCGCAGAGTTTCGATCCTCGATAATCTTTTCTCATAAGCGAAGGTGGGGACTTTCTTTCGTAGCTCATCAAAAGCTTCGTTCAGGCTGAACATTCTTCGGCGCTCTCTGATGTTGGCCGCCCGCCGCTGCACCGTGCTGATCACCCGCTTTCGCTTTGACCTGCCCGCCGATGGCACCGCGCCGCACACGGGCGCCTTTCCCACTCGCAGAGACGCCCTTTCCGAGGAGAGGATCACGTCTCCACGCCCGGGGGACATACCGTAATACAGGCCCCGGCAGCCCACGCTCTCCGCGGACTCGGACGTGATCTGCTTCTGGGGTATCTCCAGAAAGTCAACGTCAGCGAAGTCCGTGAGCATCGTGTCCAAAAGCAGCCCTTGGATTTCCATTGTGCTTTGAAATCATGGGATATCTTCAGTAAGCCATGGGAAAAGATAGTTTAATGGGTCCCTTTAGAGGACGAGTGATTCTTGTGCAATCTTTAGTTTAGGAGCATGCAGAAAAGATCATCCACTGTAAGCACTTGTGAAAAGTTGCAAAAGGATGACTGAAAGGGGGATAACCATCCACGGCTTTTAAAGGCGATTAAAGATGACGGTCAGCGGTTCAGGTGCATGCCAAATAACATTTCTCCTCAATTCCGAAATCCTGTCAAAGCGATGAATTCAGTTCCTCTTTGGCACAGATCCATGGGCCATGTCCTGCTGTTTTAATATCTCTTAATTCGATTTCAACTGCAGCTGCTTTCATGTCTTTGAAATATCGTTAAAATCAATTCCCCGAGACCGAAATCGTGGAACAGGCTGGTGAGCTTCGTTGTGCTGGTTCTGCCATTTGATCTCAGAAGTGTATGAGTGTGTTTAATGGTCTTCAGAAGGGGAGCTCGGCTTGACAGAGGGTCACCCACAGCTGTTTACTCGGTATCCCGGTGCAATGGGAACTAAATAATGAGACTTCTATCACTTAAACGAACCAGTGTAAGAGACCAAATATAACATTCCCCAACAGTCACGATATTTGCGCCCCCTTTTATTTTGCAAATTAGAACAAACATCTTTTAGCTTCCAGGATAAGACAAAATACTTTCCACTAAGTTGAAAGGTCCAGGGAAAAGGACGTATTTTGGAAAATATTACGAATAATTAATTCTTACGGACTAATAATTACGAATCAAATTAAAATTTACTATGCACTTGATGTAATTAAAGGCTAGATGAAGACTGGGTTTTTTATACAAGTGTTTCAGTTCAGTGCTTCTCAATGATAACATTCTAGAATCTTCCGGAAATGTAAGTTACATCGTGCTCCCTGTCAAGTAGCGGTTTGTGTTCATGCAGACAAGTTCGAGCACAGCCTGCCTATAAACCGCAAACAGTGTTGTTGTCTATTTAAAAAAGACTAGAAGAAATAACTAACACAGAAACGGCTAAATAAAGAGAACCAGGTCTAAAAGCAAGAAATTAGATTAGATTTAGGGCATCTGAAATGGATGTCGTTTGACATAACGGCTAACCCTGTTTATCCATCTATAAATCAAGGTCTATCTATCTATAAATCTAGATCTATCTATCTATCTAGGTCTATCTATATATCTAGATCTATCTATCTATCTATCTATCTATCTATCTATCTATCTATCTAAATACACAGTCAGAGTAAGCTTGGCGCCAATCACAGGAAGCACAGGTCACAGTCCAGAACACCCTGCAAGGTGCACATTTACTCAATAAACAATTTAGACACCACCTAATCACTTGAATGTGAGCAGGAAATCAGTTGAAACACAGGTAGAACATGTAAAACCGCAGGGAACACATGTATAAATAGAAGGGAAACATACAACAAGTTCCAGGCGCACAGATCCAAGGCATCCAGTGACCGTCCAGATGAGAAGCACTGCAAGGCAGTGAGTTGTGCCGTTGAGATGATGTTGACAGTCGTCCGTCTGAGCCTCCTGAACATGCTGGAGCAGGAGGCGGTATACAGCAGCTTAAATGGAGAGCTTAGCCTTGACCTCAGTCGTTATCATCACAGACATTTTCCCTGAGCTCTGGTCATTCATATTTATTTAGTAATAGGCTGTAACTATGGAGGGGCGGGAGCTGTCCACCCAGACGGCTGTGAGATGCCCGGACTCACAGGTTTGTTTGTGACCTCCTCAGCTGGGATCGTTTCAGATACTTTTTCTCTGACTCATTCATTAAGATGGAGTGAATAAGACATCAGACCCACATTTCCTTGAAGCCCCAGCTGAACCTAATGAGGAGGCATCATGGGACGATTCTGCGACGGCCTCCGTGTCGCTGGGAAACGCTAATTAGCTGCGACGATGCCAGCTGGTTCCGCGAGGCCGGTGGAAACGCGTGCAGGTGACGAGGCGAGGCGAGGCGAGGCGAGGTGGAATTCTGTCGATTGAAGTTGCCAGTGGTTCACGTGGCAATGGGCCGGGGGGAAAGTGGGGGGTGCCGTGAGGGTGTTCCAGAGGATCAGACAGATTCGGACGAGGCGGAATGAGAGGGTCACCTCTCTGCCAGTGGAGTATGAATCTTTCATTGTATCCTTGTGATATTGAAGTCTGTTATTACCAGCCGTGGGAAAACCAAACCCTTAGGAAGACCGCAGTTTGCCCCCCCCCCCCCCATCTGAAGAGATTGCCAATAATTCAGGCCTCACTGGCTGATATATTCCATCCCCGACCCTCATTCCTTACTAACACAATATCCTTAATGCACTTTTAAATGTTTGTTTAACGTTGTTTACGTTTCCGGAATAGATGGAATGGAATCGTTAGGAGTAGTGCGTAGCGGTGGTTGGGACCAGAGGGTTATCTGTTAGCGAGGACGAGTGGCTGGACATCCGGTTCTGGACCCGAAGAGCTTGGCTTCTGAGGAGCTCTGGTCTAGGCCTTTGTTCCGTGGGCCCAGCTCTGAGTAGCAGGGCTGAGACGAGCTCGCCCGCAAATGAAATACGCGACGCCTGTGATAGCAGATAGCAGAGCGCGCTAACCGCCGCGGCGAGGCAGGCCGGGGCAATAGAGGAAGCCAAAAAAGGAACGACTCCCAGCCAAAGATCCCCAGGTTCACCTCGCTGGCCGAGTAAATAGCTTCCTGTAATGTGAGATTGTGTGAGTGGCAGGCTGCATATTACAGGATATCGCGGCTGTGCTTTGATTCCTATGAAAGGTAAACAGTCCTCATGGTCAGACCCCCCGATATTATTCCTAGGCAGAATAAACACTGAGTCCGTGTATTTTTACTCAGCAATCACAGAGGATGGGTAACACGACACTTTGGATAAAATGCCCAAGGTAACTTTCTGTGACACGCAAGGGGGGCGGGGGGGAGAAATTCCTCTATGCAGGGGAAAACACAATGCTGTCGAAGATTCCCTTAGGCATCTGGGGCATATGGTGAAATCATTACTAGTATTTGGCAAATTTCATAATGTTGGGGTTTTTTTTTTGGTGTGTCTGACGTGTAGCGGGAGTCAGGCATCGACATTACAAGGCCCTTCATAAAAATCATGGGGGCAGAATTGTCCTCCGTCAGCCTGGACCAACAGCGCCGCCATCGCGGCGGGAGATCTCCGTTTGAAGGTGAATTCTTTCTCTTTTTTTTCTCCCGCATGGCAGATTTTTCCCCAGTTTTCCTCTGTTTTCCTGGCCGCAGGATAAACACAGCGCGCGCGTTCCTGCGGTCGCCACGGCAACGGTGAGAAAACGCAGCTGGACGGCGGAGAATAGGTATGAGGTAATCCCGGGCCCCAGGGGCTGCTGGGTAAATATTGGTTTTCAAACAGGAAATAAAGAGTGGGGAGGCGGACACCATACTGGTTCACACATGAGGCATTTACAGCTAGTAACCTACTAATGAGGACGACGTTACGGGGTTGCCCTGCCGCGACTCTGAGCCCTTCACCAGGCTAATGACACACTTAGCGCAGATTAACATCTCCCTGCAAAATTACCCAGAAATCTTTGCATAGCTCACCCTGAAGTCCAATCAAACAAATGCAGTTGTGCCAATTTCCCATAATTCCCCTGGGGACCCAGAGAAACCACAATGGCAGTAATATTACTATTATTAACAGGATTGCTGTAATGTTATTGAACATACTGGTTTATAATGCCATTTTACATACTGGGCCCACTGTTGCGTATGGTACAGTAAGTATGCCAAAGTCCCCATTTTACCAAAGGAAATGGCCAAAAATAAGAAAAGCCAGTGTACAAAGAGTGCGATACCAGTGTACAAAGAGTGCGATACCAGTGTACAAAGAGTGCGATACCACTCTGCAGGTGACCTTTGTGCCAGCAGGTCAGGAACGAAGAGTCTGGAGCAGGATCGCTGCAGCAAAACAGGGCTTTATTAGTAGGTGTTCAGTAGGTGTTCAGTAGGTGTTCAGTAGGCGTTCAGTGCAAGGTCCAGCACGGGAGGGATAGGGATGGATTCGGGGGTGGGGTGCATCTCCAGGCACTGGGGGGGTCAGCCCTGGGGGGGTCAGGTATATGCCGATTGGTTCGTCACAGAATCTGTCCAAATTTGGTGGAGAACTAGATGTGTTGAGTAGTGCTGTCCCACCTGTCGTTCCTTCATGTGCTTAATATTAATTGGGGAGAGAAATGAATTATGATCTTCTGATTGCTTGCTTTCTGACGTCTGGTCGGCCTCCACGTGTGTCCATGGTGCTGGAATTGGGGCGGCGACACCTGAGGCCAGATTTTCCCGCCTCTTTGCAGCAAGGCCGTCCGTACCAGAGCCAATCCACATCTGGGACTGTAAGTCCTGCCCAGGGACCCAAAGGCAACCCTGCCCCAAAAAGTCACTGGGGTTACACAGGACCCGAGTGAGCCGCTTATAGGGGGCAGATCTCCATCATTCCTGCCCTGCCAGATCTATGCCCCCGTTGCCCCGGGGCTGTTTAAAAGGCTTCCACAGATAAGGCCGGCCTTTTCAGCGGTAATGCCGCCATCCACTTCCTCAATTATTTCTCCCCAGTCTGGGATAATTTCCTCCAACTATGTTGTGAGAGATCTCTGGATAAACGTTCAGAAAGTCGCATTATGCGAGTCGGTGAGAGTGTGGAGCAAACGCGTGTAATAGCAGCATGGAGGGGGGGGAGGGGGCCGGCAAGCGAGGGCAGTTAAATATAACTGATGCTGAAGTGTGAACCCCAGGCCCCCGCAATCGCTGTGCTGAGTATCACAAAGGCTGCAGGCCTTCAAGCTCACTTCGAAAGGAGGGTCATGACCTTTTGTAATGTATGGACCAAGTCATATTTAATTAGCTTGTGGCGAATCAAAATTCATATGCATCATATGTATAAGCAGGTTGGTCGGCTGAAAACACGACACCATCTGTTGGGTAAGTTCTGCTCATCACCACTGACCTCCCAGTTTTATGGAACCATCGACCTGCCAATCTCATGTTCTCCATTGAGCCTAACCAAGCAGGGCTGGTCGATCCATAGGCGGTCGCCTAGGGCACCATGTTCTGCGGGGGGTGCTGCTTGGAGAGAAACCTACCTGAGCAGATAAGGCAGAGGACAGCGGGCCGGGACCAGAGCCAGCCGACTCCCTCCTCATCACGTGCACCTCCTCCTGGAAACGTTTGCAAATCTAACAGCCCTATGAGTGATTTTAATATTTTTTTCAAAATGTGCCTTGAAGACAGAGGTGGACCTGAAACTTCTCGATCTCTGCTATCTTAATATTCTCGGTCCAC